GCAATCCCCTCACTCTTACTTACACACTTATTTTCCTAACCAAAAAATAGAAAAAAAAAAATTAAATTGAAATAATTCGTTTGCTGAAATTATTTTCAAACAATTTTTAAACAACGCACCCTGGTTTGCCGTGATTTGCTTGTTCTCGTCGAATGTAGACAATTCCAAACTTTCCACGCCCCGTAATTATTTAAATTGACAGCCCCTTCAAAGCTCTTTAACAAAAGAAAACAAAACCGAGGTCCCCTCTATTCGTACTTCGAACGAAGGCTAGAATTAACTTCGTAGAAAGACCTGCTATATTTTGAACCACTTCTAGGATTACACCCTCTCAAAGACCGCAAGTTTTGCGACGGTTTCTCATGGTTTCGGATTCTCACACATCGGCACGCACAGAAATTTCCTCCCCACATGCCTCGCCTCAATCGAAACCCTTACCGAGTACACGAATCTTGTTTCCGAGGTGGAGGCGTCCTCTCCACGCCAGCTGAGATAATGGGAAGGAAATCAGTTCATTTCTATGTTGATCCCACGGGCTTGGTTCCTGTCGCGCTTAGAAGAGCGCCACGATTGCCTCGGTGATCGAGAAAATCGAGGCAGAAAATCGGTTTGATAGCTCGGCTCATCGACCGACTTAACTGTCTCTGGCGAGTCTATAATGTCCCAGGTCTCCGTGAGATGGTCGTCCATAAAATTGACGATTTATCGTGGCGGAAAGAAGGAATCGTTTTCGGAAGGAATTGATTGGGAGAAAGTGTTTTGCGAGACGAAAGAAATTAGGCGTTGAAACGAATTCAGGTTTTCTATCGAGAAATTTTTTAAAACTCCATTACGCGCAAAAGATAAGTTTTAAATTATCGGTTCCAAGCATCGTTCAATTTACCCAATTAAACGTACCTAAATAGCTCGATAAATGTACAAATACAATAAAAAAAATCAACGATATCAATAAACATTGATAAAACTATTTATATTATCTATTACCTACCGATCTACCGTTACAATTTCATTTGGATCGAGTCGCAATCAAAGTAGTAAGAAATGCTTTTCAACCTTTCGACAGAAAATGAATCGACCGATAAATAAAATTTATCCTGTATAATCGCAAGATAAAAATAAAACTATCTTTTGAATAATATCGAGGATAACGAATCATTTTTCCATGTCGCTCAATTTCGATAATAATAAAGTATTTATTATTTGCAAAGCCGTTTTAGCCAGAAAGATATTTCCCACGATTACTCAGCACACACGTTACACACTCACAACGCGCAAGGATCGAAGGGGTGGGCCGCGATACATCTTATTCGGGTAGCGCAGTGATCTGAAAGATTGCACGTCTAAATGGCAATGAGGCTGCGGCCAGAAGAGTTTTACCGAGGCCATCCCCGAGGGAAACCTAGGCGGCTAGCCGAGCAATTTGTCAACACCATTAGACGAAGGCAACAAGGGTTGACTTTGGCGCATCTGCCAAAGGAAGGATCGTATAATAAAGGGATAGTTAATGACTATCGAAGGGAAGGGTATCGAAAATCCGGTGCACAGACCGTGTGCCAGCCTGTTGACAAAATATTGGCATTGACCGAAAGGGATAACAGATTCATCGAAAGGGTGATTTCATTCACCATTCATCCTCCGCCCGATGAAGAAATTGGATTTTGAAAACTGGATGATGAACGTGCTTGTCGCGCGTTCAATGATCTGACTTTTCTTATTCTCTTCGATTATTTTAATGCGATATTAATGCTTTGATGAAATACAAATTTGATTTTAATCTTGGAGCGAGCAGGTAGTGATGATCATTTCCAAACGATTCGAGTAAAGGATAAAACGGTAAGAATATTTTGATTTTGAAGGTTTTATCGTTCAAAAAGAAAAGAAAGAAGGGATATATTTCCAGATCGAATCAAAATCGAAGGAAATTTCTACCAAATCGTCTCAATTTTCACTTAACGAATTAACTTAAAGAATGAACGTCGATACTCCTCGATCCATCGACCAATGGCTGGATCCTCGAGCAACCTTGCGAATATCGAATTCTCGTCGAATCAATGGGAGGGATCGAAGGATCGCGGAACGATGGAAAAGATGGCGATTTCGCAAACGAATGGAACAGGAGGGGAGTACCTGCGGTCTGGAAGTGGGAATTGCCAGGTTCAGGAGTGAAACTGAAACGGGGATAGGTGGGATGCCATTGGAATAAGATCGGGTTTAGCCGCAGTGTCGGGTTCGAGCCCCGGATAAGTCTGCCTTATCCCGATAAGCCGGTGAGTTAATGAATCACAAAACAGGTGGTGGCGCCACTGAGAGATCGTCTTCGTCCTCGACTCGTCGCTACACCTTCGATCTTTCCTTCTTGCTGCAATTTCCTTTTCCTTTCTTCCTTCCTTTTCTTTTTTTTTTTGTAAAAAATACAAGCCCCCCTCCCCCCTTTCTTCTTTTCCTCTCTCTCTCTCTCTCTCAGCGAGAAGTGGAATTTATAGAAAGAGATACGCGCCGGAATTCCGTGCCTCGATGTTTGTTCACGCGATCGTTCTTCTTTATCTTCTCGGCCTCGAAACACCATCGCCCGTCCCGCTTGTGCGTTTCGCTTTTCAATGAAAAATTAGGCCGTCACGCATGCTCTCCGCCTTTGGAACCGCCAGAACCTCGAGAAGATAAGCCTCGTTGAAGGGAATTTCGAGCTCGTGGTATACGAAACGTGAATTTAGTTGATACCACGTCGTATCCCTGAGGAGTCGAGGAGAAATTTTGGCATCGGGGAATATGAAGATACATCTCTTTCGCTATTTTTTCTTTTTTTTTTTTTTCTAAATCGAAGTGAATGCGATTATCAGAACTACGAAGATGATCATCTTCGATGTTCAGAATGAAAAATTTCAAGGTTAAAAAGTGGAGTAGAGTAGTATAAATTTTCTTGTATTGTACTCGATTGGCTATTGAAGCAGATATTAAATTACACTTTTTTCGAGGAATATTAATCGAAGAACACGAGATCTATCTCGAAGATAGAATAAATAAAACTTGTACTTTTTCTTTCTGTATGAGCAAAATCGAAGGAGTAATACCCTTTTAAACACCAAGTTAATGACACCGAGTAATCGTACTTCAAAATTTCTTATCTCTCTGTACAACGTGCACGTACAAGAACATTTATCTACGCGTATAAATAATTAAGAATGACCTTGAAATTATACCTATTATATATCCGCACAAGTATATTTCGACAGTTTTATTTCGCTTCCATTTCGGATACTCCTGTTGCATTAAACGCGAAATTTTACTCGTCATGCCGTCGTGTATATCAAAGTTGGAATAACACGATGGGCGCAGTTAGCTTATCAAAGCTATTCGTACTAATATTTTATCTGCGCTCCGTTGGCACTTGACAAAAATCAATGTACAATATTGTTTTATCGCTCCAAAAAAAAATTTTTTTCATCGAAATTGTAACATCGAAATGTCACACAAATATATTTGCCTCTCCGTATCCACGCCTCCGCTACTAGGAGTATCGCGAGTTAAGTGGTGACCCGTGTTTTCGAAAATCGGCCCGATTATACGCGTCGTTCGGTGTATAAATTGGAAATTTATCGTTCGCTAAAATAAATATCGAAGCGTAGATAAAAATCAAATCGAGTCCGCGTCTCGTCGTCAAACTCTGTGACAAACGTCGTCTCTTTTGATTGTACAAAAAAAAAAAAAAAGGAAAGGAACAGAAAAATAAATAAATAAAAAAGAATTACCGCAATAACGTGGAACAACGAGAAGAATGAAGGGAAGAACAAAGGATTCGTAGGTGTGTTTTGATCTTGTGTCGTACGTGCAAATTTGCTACGTCAAGCGATACGAGATTTTCTGAAAAGATAAGAGGAACGACGCAACGCATGATTTAGGAGCAAGAAGTGTATATTTGTAGGAATACGATGTAATCGATGTATTATCTCAAATCACATGAATTGACAAGCCCGGTACAAGCGATTATCGCCGATATTGGGTGGCCGTCGATGGAAGAAAGGAAAAAAAGCGATGTTCTTCCGTCGTATCGGTACGCTTGATCGGGACAAGAAAAAAGAAAGGCGACAATTATACTTGTCACGTAAATACCGTAAATACTGTATCTCGGCCACTGCACTTAAATTTAATCCGTGATCACCGATTCTCGAATATCTTTCATTGATTTATTCGATTTTACGATATAGTTGGCTCAAAATGTGGCTTACGAGATATACGATTTCTCGATAGATGCGTTCTATCTCCGAGAAACTGGAAGAAAGTTTTGAATTTTTGAACTTTCGTTGCAATAATAACTTTTCTTCTATCGTCCGTTGCTTGAAGCGCTTAGCACAGAGAAGAGAAATATACGAAGCTATCGAAGGTAACGATCTTTCGATTTCGAGTTCTCCACGATTTGTAAATGAATGTTGTACGTTGTTAGAAAAGAAGACAGTACAAGTTGTGAGACGCTCGAGTGGAACGATAAGTAATATTCGAGTACTCTGACGAATCGTGACCAGAACTCTTACAACAATAAAACTCGTGAAACAATACGAGTATCGATTAAGCTTTTAACGAAAAATCTATCTAGTTTCACGAATCGCACGATACACTCTTAATTAATTTCGCTTATCGTCTGTATATACCTGTATTTATAAACACAACTAAAGAAAAACAGATAATTCGGTCAAATAACAACCGTTTCGCTTATTAAATATCGTATCACGAAACGTGCCTAAATTACTCGGGATAACTCGTCCTTCCTCGTAATCCCAGTACAACTGGAAACCCAGTTGGGTAATAATCCTTCATCCTCCTCGAGCCTAAACCAAGACTACGGCGTACGTGACGCGCATTTTCCTCGTTTCTCCCTGCAGTTTCCAACGAAAAAAAAAAAAAAAACTTAAGGAAAAGATCGGAAATTTCGCGAGAAGAGGAAACGAAACCCTTGGTGGAGAACCCTTCCTTCCTTCCCCCCCCCCTCGATATTGTGACCGACTCACCACGTTTCAGCTTCTCCAACGGCTCGTGCAACTGATGGTTCGAATTGTGCAGCATGGAGGCGTCGTGGTGCGAGTTCCCGTGAAGATCGTGGTGGTGCATCGTTCCTTGAAGGTGGTCGCCGTGGAGGCCGGCCATGGACGCGGCCGCTGCCGAGTGCTGGTGATGCTGGACCGACAGGCCGGCCGTCGATCCCGTGACCAGGTCCTGAAGGCAGAGATCCGTGTTCCCGCCGCCTCCTCCTCCGCCACCGGCTAGCTCGAGGCTCCCCCCGCCCCCGCTGCCCCTTTCCATGCTGTAGAAGGTTAACGTCGTGTTGACTGTTCTGTACAACGCGAGCCAAGATCAACCTGCGTGCCCCCCTCGCGAGGACGTTCGCCGCGAGACCGCGCCGACGATCGATGGTCCTCGTCTCTGCCCGATCCTCGTCTCAGGAACGCATCGAACGTCTCCAGCCAATTGTCCACGAGTGTCGTTGTCCACGGGTGTCGATGTTGGCAACGCTTCTCTCGCGGCGACGGCCGTCGGCAGCGATATCCTTCCTTCCTTCCTTCCTTCCTCTTCCCTTTCTCTTGAGACGTGGCGAACGTCAGAGGACGTGGCGGATCTCTCGATTATCGCCGATCGACACGGATTGCACGGATGATTGCACTTGACGATTCCTGGTTCCGACGAGGTTAGTCGTCATATGGGTTGGTAGTCGATTGGATAAGTTTTTCAGTGGGTGATCGAACAACGAGTTGGCCCCGTCGTGCCGTCGGATTGGGAACGTTAGGTCGTTGCGACTCCGTGGAAAGAATAGAAGTTCGTCGATGATGGTATCGAGCGACGGTGGACGATGATCGATACTTCTTCCATAGAATCGGTCGGGCAAGATGAGTCGATGCTCGCACGTCGATGGTAAAGATGAAGAGCAACGTCGCACGTGGTCCGGCCACTCGGAGATAGAACCGACTGATTAATCAGATAACCGACGACAAACGACAAACGTACGTTACGTAAGGATCATAAGGTGATAATAGTGGGAGATTTGGATAGTAGATCGGGTAAAAGTGGGTTAAACGGATCGCACTGTGGTCGATGGCGCGATCGAAACTCCCTTGATTTGACAGGTGTTCACGTCAAATCGCGCCGCGTACGTACGATCTACCGCACATCTCGTACAAATCCTCTTGTCCTCGAAGTTGTCGATCTCTCGACTTCCTTCTTCGAAGGAAAGAATCTCGTCAAAAAAAAAAGACAGTCCTCTCCAACACGCTTCCAAATCCTTCTTACTCGAAACTGACTCTCACTTGACATCGAATCCCTTCACTGCACTGTTCCCAGCCTCGTCTTCGAACTTGGATCACAAGGTATACGTATATATATATCCAGGCATGGACAGACATCACAGCAGAACCGCGACACCGAAACCTTCCTATACACCGATATATACCGATATACACTGGATATACTTGGGATCGTTCACGCGCCACCAGAGGCAACACCGGGGATTTCCATGGACGTGGCTCGCGCGAAATGCGTGGTTCACGAGGGCGAAAATTCGGCGCGAGTACAGCGCGGTGACATCACGGACGATCGGCAGACACCGGAAACCCCGCGGAAACGTGGCGCGCCGGCTACGCTCCGTTAGTCCCGCTGCTCTTCTCACCTTAACGTGGCCACGCGTTAAGGAACGACAGACAGACAGCGTGGATAGAGAGTGTGTGCGAGAGAGAGAGAGAGAGTGAGTGAGTGAATGAGTGAGAGTGAACGAGTGAGTGAGAGAGAGAGAGAGAGAGAGAGAGGGACAGACAGAGGAAGCGTAAGAAAGCGCGAGCGGTGCTGCAGGTCGCGGTAGTGTAGCCGGTTTTCGTAGTAGATGGAACGTGTAGTGGCCGCGCGTCGGTAGTAGGTGGGTCCGCCAGGCTTAGCCGGTTGAGCCTTTCGGACTGCCTGCCGGCTTAAGTCTCTAAGTCGGTAAGCCGAGCGGATCTAGTGGTCTTGGCTGGTGCACTGGCTGCCTGCTAGCCTGTCTGCCTTCCTTGCTTGCCGGGCGGCTTGCCTGACTGTCTGACTGCGCCTCGCCCTGGCTCGCTTGCTCTTACTCCCCTCCAACTCGTACTCCTTCTCTCTTCAGCTCTCCCACTCCGCTTTCGTTATCTCCCTCGAAATATCCGTCTCCCTCGCACTACTCGCGATCTCTCCCGTCTTCGTGCCCCGTTTCATCCCTTTGGCTACCGCTTCGGACCCGCCATCCTTCTTCCTCGTCCTATCCTATCCCCCACTTTCGTCTCCTCGTTTTCGTCCCCTCTCGCTTCCACCGTATCGTCATTCTCGCTTATTTCTCTCTCTCTCTCTCTCTCTCGCCTCGTTACACGATCTCTCACGCCTGTATCTGTCACCTCGTCCCCGACACCCCTCGATTGGCCGACCCTAGCCGTCTTTCTCGCTCTCTCTCTCTCTCTCCTCGCTCTACCCCTACCTATCGCTATGGCTCGACACTCTCCGTCCCGTTCCCTCGTTGCCGCGATCTCTCACGCCTGTTTCTCTCTTTCCCGTACGAGTCGTGCTCGAAACAGTCACCGGTTCGCCTATGTTCGGTATCGTGGACGCACCTCTCTTCATCTACCCCCACTTGCCGACCAACGCCCCTCCAACGGCGTCCACGTCGCCCCTCCTACGTGCACACTCCGATCTTGGCTCTCTCCCTCGGTCGAGCACGCACGCACGCACGCCGCATGCACTCACACCACGCACCCTTGTCCTTCCTTTTTCCTATTTCCCCACGAGGCTCGTATACTATCTTCTGATTATCGTTTCTTTCTTTCCGTTGACGTTTGTCGCCTTCACGATTGTCATGCGCCGCTTTCCTAATCCTTCCGCCGACATTCCATTCTTGATTTTCTTTGGCGAAATCGAATCAAACGTGCGGATGTATTTTAATTTTTTGATTTTTTTTTTTTTTTAATCGAAGATGTTTGATCGCTTCGCCATCTTACCCTGCGATGTTGAGGATATATGTGTTACGTGGAAAAATCTTTTTCCGTCTGATCCGTGTCGAGCGTATGCAGTTATCGCTCGTCTTATCTCTGTCGAAGCAAATATCTATCTTCATAGACTTAGACGGCCTCTGTGCTGGGTGTTTCGAGCGAAGAGGTGTGTCGTGTATCGGGTACGAATTCGGTTCGAACGATTCCTAGGATTGAGTTCGTGAAATGAGGACGAATGGGAGAATTTTCAGAGAAGATTTAAGATTATGGATCTTTACTTAAAAAGAGGATTTATAATTATTTTTCATTAATTCATTTCTTCTTCGTTGTAGTTAGATGAGACGTTAGTTAGTAAGTATCTAAATTTGATAAATTTGGGGGGGGGGGAGGAGAAAAAATTGGAAGCTTTCTTTAGTTTCGCACAGATTGAACGATGATTATCTTTCAAATTCTTTCGTATGATCAAAATCTTCAAGTTTGCAATGGTCTAGAGTCTAATCAGATTAAAAAAAAAATTTCCAAGAATGAAACACATCGTTCAATTCGGCCATTTCAAAACGATATTTTATCTTATATTCGTCTTATCATTTCGACGAGGACGTGTGCTATTCGGTTGTGAAAATAACTTAAGCCTTTGATCAAATTAATTAATCAATTAATTATTATTTATATCTGTTCCAATAAATTAATTAATCATTTAACAAGGATACCGTAATCGATTTCGTATATAGGTGAAATAATTTGACAAATCAAAAACAAAAAATATCTATCTAAACGTAATATTTCGTATTCTTTATTAATAATAACGTATACCGAAACTTTCCAATGATTTCACAAACGAATCTCAATGAAATCTCTTATTGTACGCATAAAAATAAACTTTAAGAAGACCCGAAACAACAACATAGTCGAACATTTAACGCGATCACAGACTCACAGCAAAACAACCCTCTAAAGTTTAACCCTCGAAGCGATCCTCGAACGCGGCGTAAGTAACAGCCTAAGAATAAACCCTGGCGCGATCTCATCAAACATCCCCCAAATCCTCGAAAAAACAACGAGTCATCGCGAGTGAACAGGGAAAGGGAGAAAGAGAGAGTTGCCCGCGGATCGATGACGAAGGCAGGAGAGAATTCGCCTCTTTGGGAAGATCGGGGTGGAAAGAAAAGATGAACGCTGCGAATGACAAAGCGGATGATTTGGCGGTCGAAAAAGGGAGAAAGTCTCCGCGACGAGGTTCGAAGTTGAGTGCGAGGGGGTGAGGAGGAGGAGGAGAAGCGGGCTGCCGTCGGTCCGCGCGAAGACGAGACGCGGAAAACGAAGAGGAGCGCGGCCGACGACGGGGGAGGCTGGTGTGTAGCGGCAGTACATACGTCAAGGTAGGAACAGAGACCGCCATCCCCGGGATCCCCTAACGCCTCGGGAAAAGTAGAGGAGACAAATGACAAGGTAGCCACGCCTACCGCGTCGCGGCGTGGGCGTAGATCGGTGTTGTGTGCGTGTGACTTGGACGGGACGGAGTGGGAGCGCCGACGCCGCTGGTGGGATTCGTGATATCCGGGGGCAGGGGGGAGGAGGGGGGAGCCGAGGGGTATACGTGCAGGGTGTTTCCTGATTTTTGAAGCGGCCGACCGAGTTATGGACGTCACCCGACCGGGAATTAATGGTCGATCACTGTTAAGAATGCGATCCACCGCAATCACCGATTCTCGTGTCTCCCTTGCAATTGGTTAGCAATCGATGATATTATATAAGGGTGTAAATATTCGAGTATCTGGAAGCTCTGGAAGCGAAGAAACTATTTTAGAATAAATACCTATTTATTACTTTGAATTCGTCCAAGTTGACGAGTAGTATAAAGTGGAACGGTAAATGGCAAGTGGAATGAAACGAGTAGAGGGAAGTATATGTACGAGAAAGTAGTAATTAATAGTAAATGAGCATGAGTAATGATGATTAAAAAGTGACACGGTTACGGTAGAATGAAAGTTCTGAGGATTGATTCGATTTCGATAATAGAAATTAACGAGAAAATCGTTGCCGCGTACAACATTCGAGTTGACTTCTGGCCGGGGGAGATGATACGCGGGGGAGGGGAATATATGAATATGTAGAATATTCCTATTTATTGTAATGCGGTAGCAATTGAAGGATTATAGATTATCTGCGGATGCAGCCGATCGACAGCCGGGCTTTGCGGCTGACCCGAACATATAACTACCACGCACGATCAACGACTATTCATAGTTGTTTCCGCGTGACATATGATGAAAGGTATAATTCGATTCGCAGCACAATTAAATCATGCGATTATCGGATTAATCGGAGAAATTTTAAAATGAAAACGTACGATCGTTTGACGTTTGTAGTCCTTTTCCACCTTAAAAAATCTGCATATTATATATGTTATAATTATG